TGATGGATTTTGGGCTCCTTCCACTCCCACGCGCAGCGGCTGACGCACGCAGCACCCGCGGGAGCCGGCTCCAGCGCCAGCTGGAGGCGTCAGCCATCCCTAGTGCCGTTTGGCACCGATGCGAGGCCCCAGTCCAGCATATCCCCCCCTGCACGTGCCGCAGCCTTGAGCACACATGAAATCAGCCCGGACGGCTTCAACACCTGAAGGTGTGCAGGTGTTGCACCGCTTCGGGGAGCCCGATTCCCATCTGCCCGGTCAAACCGCAACCATACATCCCTGCTTTCCCTGACCAGCTTGGCTTGTGCTCCTCACCTGGCAAAAGAACACACGGCAGCGAAAATAAACACGGAGGGGAAGCAAAGCCCCTCATGGCCCAGCGAGCGAGTTCTGCGTTCCAAGAAGTAATGAAGCCCAGGGAATGGAAAATGCACGTCACAGGGCTGGATGCGCGCAGGCGCTCGGTGCCGGCTGTCGAGAGGGCGCTTCGCCTCCGCACGGCATCGCCACGGCACGGCAGCTGCGCCAGGTCCGGCCAGCAGCACCGCGCTGAACCCTGACATTTGGAGACGGAGAATAATTTGGCTTCGTTAGCCTCCCCTTCCCCCCCGCTCCGAGCGGTCCCTCGAGCCGGGCTGGAATGTGCGTGGTAGGGACAGAACCAATCCCATTAGCACGAGGAGATTGTTTTTCGTTTGGTTCTTCTTGTTGTTGAATTACCCGTGGCTCTGCTTCATTGGGGTAGGTCATCGTGAGGAGGATGGGGAGAGGAAACCCACGGGCGTTGTTTTCCCGGATGGCCATCCATGCCACGGCGCTCCCTTGCCAGCCCTGATTTCAGCAGCACCATGAGGTTTCCATCTTTGAAGGCCACGCGAGCTTTGCTGCCAGCTCCGGGATGGTAGCCGGTGTGGTTCGAAGGAGCATTTGTAAGGGCAAGGGCTCAGCTCCCACACGTGGGATCAGGAAGGTGCCACAAGCCAGCAATGCTGCCTAGAACCCCTGGCCAACCCCACGTCCTCATCCTCCTTCCATCTCTAGATGGAGACTTCCCTCTGCTGCGGTTAAAGCCAAATTCGCAGCTCCAGGACAGTGCCGGATTGCAGCCATGTGCTCGCAGGAGCTGGGCCAGGGGCAGCGAGAGGCAGCTGGGGCAGCGAGAGGCAGCTGGAGCAGCTCAGAAATCTTTCTTCAGCTGAGACAAGAGCCCGAGCTCTTTTTCCATCGTCTTCAAAAGCTTTGCCCTAGCAGGGCCCAAACTCGCCGCTTCGCCCTGATTGTGCTTTCTCATTGAAGACCCTAATTGCTCCAACATGAAACAAAAATGAGAAACATCCCCCTGGCTGCTCTGTGTCCAGCGGCATCTCCCTGGGATGTGAGCGGGAAGGGGCGAAGGGGAGCAATGGGTGCAGACCCAGGTGAACCAACACTGCATCCACGCCAGATTGGGCGAATTGCTCACAAATCCAAAAAAAGAGGGTTTACCATGTGTGTGTGCAAGGCAGGGCTTTCTCCGAGTCCTTCCCCACCCCACTGTCCCAGTCCTGGGCTTCCCGCACATCCGTGGACTGTGGACCCAAAAGCTCTTCCCACACAGAGACGTCCTGGTGGGACATGGCACCAGTTTTGGAGCACCCAACAGTGGGACGAGGAGCCGGGACCACTCCCAAAGGCATCCTCGGCACAGGAGAATGACACCACTGGGAGCAGACAGCAAGAGAGGAGGGAAATCCATGCGCAAATGCATTTGCTGCGTGGCCCAGCTCCTCAGCTGGAGTGTGCGAGTGGTGGTGGAGCTGCGCCAGGTCCCGGCAGCTGAGATTTGCAGAGGGGGAGAAAGGAGGGGGCATTTTCCGGAGGTGAGAACAGCCCAACACAACCACGGAGAGAGCAACCGCGGTGGGGGGCTGCACACCCCAACCGCAGCCATCGAGATCCCCTGCAACCCTCAGCACCCGCAGAGACTGAGCACCAGCACCTCATGAGCTGCAGGGGTCCACGGCAGAGGCGTGGGGGTCACTCGCTGGCCTCCTCCCTGCCTTTTTGAGGCCACTGCTGGCCGCAGCATGGCTAACAGTCCCCACCTACCGGCCTGCGGGTTTTTGCTGACCTGTGGGAGTGCCGATGCTCACCACAAGGACACGACCACCATGGGCTCGTGGTCCCCCACTCCCCACCC